AAACATCTATAAACAAAGGTGTTGATGGCAGCAGCAGCACAGCTGATATTTCCAGCAGTACTGTAGATTGTCTCTAGGAGGCGAAGAACCGTGCTAGCGTGGTGTGTAAATGGTTGTAAGGAACAGAGCATTGAATGTCAAGTATTAATCCGGTTTTTGTATTTGAAAGGACGCACACCATGAGAGACTTTACCATTGTAAAACGTTTTACAAGGTCATATGATGGGGCATCATAACATAAGTAATTTTCGTGTCATCCAAAGTCTCCCGTGGTGTGCGTCCTTTCAAATACACAAACCACATCACTGCTCGACACTCAAGAGGCTCCATTTCAGACTTGATTCACTTCAAACACCTGTAAATCCGAAACCACAACTAGTTCAGAGCTGTTATTGCTTTTTGAATGCCCCTTGTATAATTTTACAAAAAGTGGTGTACTATATAAAAACATGGAACAATGGACGCTGTTTCCATCCATGGTGGGAAAGTAGGTCTTAATGCAATCAAATTTTTTGTGAGATCATTCACATCATATTTAAAATGGTGCCTGTGCCTGAGTGCAGGAAAAGTTTGAGCCGTTTGCAAATCCAAACTGACCCTTTAGGAGCAAGATGATAACAATGGCGTCACTGCCAGCTTGTTTGTGTTCAGCAAACATGGAGGGATAAGGTATTGGAAGTGTCTTAAGGAATGCATTTATTGTGTCAGCAGGTTCCGAGGAGGAAATACACAAATAAGAAAATGTAATTCCGTCTTTTAGCTATTTACAGAGATTTGGCTGCTGCTGACAAAAACTAAGACAAACATCAAAGGGGCCAAACTGGGGTCACATTAATTTGGCGACAAAGGGAAGAGGCTCATACATGATCTGAAAAGGTCAGAAAGGGTCAAACCCAGGCAAATTTAAGCCACAATTTCCTGCAGTGAGAACAGGACCTTAGAGTCAATCAGAACGAGGATTTTTACTTTCCCCAAAAACAGTTAATTTAGTGAAAATGTGTTATTTCAGTAAAGGCTGAGTTGTGCAACACTTCTCAAAATCTTTTTTCCCCCGTTCAGTTGAAGTTAATTCAATTTGAGCTCTTCCTATACAGACGTGCCTCTAGAAAAAGTCTTCTTACCCGAGCAAAATCAAAGGCGTATCTGTAGATGAGCTTAAAACTCGTGCTGTCGTTGAGGACGGACCTCAGGTAGTCTAGAGAATTCCTCAGTCTCTCAGTGGAATCACATCTGAAAACACCAGAAGTTCATCAACACTTAAAACAACTCTAAGAAAAGACTAAAACTGATGGAGAGATGGTGGCTGACGTACTGCAGTGAGCCCATGCCTCTTAGCCACTCCTGAAGAGTGAAATAGCCCATACTCTGAGCATCTAGCTTCCAGGCGAGAACCAGCATCACCACCTGGGGAAAATGTGGAAATAAAAAACAAAACAGAAGTTATTCAACAGGAGCAATTTGCACAGGGATGGGTGATACAGGGGATTATTTAGGAGAACCTTAAACAACACTAAGCAACTTTTCAACCCTCATTATATATTTTCATACCTTTTATGATTGTGTGTCGACCTACAACTAGTGAAATGACTCCTCTGTCATGGCCTGAGCGCGTATGTTTCTCTTTCACTGACACTAAGCAACTCAGAGATAGATGGCAGTAAGCCTGCCACACAAAGAGACTACAAATGTCCAGACTACTTTATGGCATATGTCACCTCAGCCTTTCCCTATTCCTTATAAAGACAGAAGTCAATGTGACTAGAGACACTGTAAATGCGGGACCATCCTCCTGGGATCTATACATGCGATTAGTGTGAAATTATCAAACATAAGATTATATTTATCCGTTTCAAGGCTCTATATCAGGGGTAACCAATTAAAAATCAGCTGGGTCCGAATAAAGAAAAGCATCAACCAGTTAAGGTCTGGAGACATTTTTAATTCTAACATGTTACTTTAAACAGAATTTAACACTGAAATAAATTGAGTCGTTTATGCATCCATGTTATACATTGACTTTGAAGTAAAAAATATAAAAAAAACAAAACAAAAATAAAACATATTTTTGGATTTTAAAATCTAAAGTGTTTTTTCTAAGTAGAGAACAACAATCTTTCAGTTTGGTATATAGACAATTTCCTGATTCACATATTTTATAAAACACCTGAAATGACCGTTTTTTTCTTTTTTCTGTCTTAATGAGAGCAGTGGGCTT